GAAGGGACGAATACAGAGACCTGGTGCACCGAGTGCCACAAGGTCCGCAAACAACCCTCCGAAGGGTTTGGAATTCAGAGTTGTCCTTCTCCTAGACCAGTTGCCATCCAAGGCTATAGAACCCAGTCTGTCCTGCTATTTTACCCATAGCTGGAGGGGGAGGAATATATATATATAAAAATTTACCAGTAAAAAAATTTGTTCAACACCATATTTGGTATAAACGCAAACATTTTAAAATTTAAAATCAAACTCAGCGTTGCTTTGGCGCGTTCCAAAACCAATAACTCATTTTCAATAGCATTTTCGGATACAACAACACATATTTTCGTTTGTCCTCTTATTACTAAGAGAAAAAACCAAGAACAACATCTATTATATACCTGAAGATGTCTGTAGGAACAGACGAAAGCTTGTAGTAAAAAATAACAACTAATACGGCAGAAATTTATATAAACAAGGATCAATTCATTCATAACGGATCTGGAGGTTTTGTATACTATTTGAATTGCTTGCGATGATGGATGTCTCGCCATTTAAAGCATTAACCTTTGCATTAATTTTGTGTGAATAATTCATGTATATATATATATATATATATATATGCGTTAATTTCCCCGCTGTAAAGAGACAATTTTGACATTGAAAAATGTTACTCTACTCAAAGGAGAAATAGTTCACTCCAGCAAAAATGTTTAGAGAGTTCCTTGAACGCAAGGACATCTACAGTAAATGTGCAGTTTTGCTCTTACACTATTTTTTAATAACATATTTCTGTTAACACAGACTGGGATAACTAATAACAAAGTGTTGAAGAGAAAAAGAATAAGAAAATAAATTAAATTAGCTAAATTTTAAAATATATATGAATTTTTTTTTTTTAAATTATTAAAAAAAAATTAAAATGTCCCAGGATCCCTCGTTCGTGCGCATGTGTAGTCGCACCGACGTAAACAAATTTCGTCCGATTAAATCATAAAGGCCGAAACGCGTCACACAAAAACTTTTTCTTACTTTGTCATACATTTTTTTCCAATATTGTTGTTGATATAAAAATAGATATCATTATCACATATGCAGTAGTCCACCGCTATTAAGCGAACCAATTTACCGCGGTACCCCGTGTACCGCGGGTGGATGGGAGACCGCAAGATTTTGCTCTCGTACCCTTAATATCGATCACTTTTTTTTTTTTAGAAATTTCACCCTATTTACCAATTTCTGGGCCATCTTATTCCCGATAGACAAAACAAACAGCGACCATCAGATGGGTCCTAATTTGTTTTAATAATTACACCCCTTTTTCACAAGTTTTGCATTGGTTTTGATGATCAAACAGCCCAAATTTTGCGAAATTTTAACAGCAAGGCCGTTTTACACAATTTGCTTTTTAAGCCCCGCGCTAACTATCTAATAAAAAATTCCCGAATAGTTATATTTGCCTATAAATTTGCATACTTAATTCGAAAATAACAAAGAAATTTTGATAAAACTTAGTTTTTTGGAGTTATCGACAATAAAAGTTCGGACTCATTCGCGTCGCGGCAGCCATTACTGGCATTGTTTGCATATATATGCTGCGGAAAAGATATTCACTTGTTTCAATTATTGCGCACCCAGTGATTGATTTCGGACCCATTCGTGTCCTTGCCATAGCCGACAAGGACACGAATGAGCCAGAAATTTTATTGTCGATAACTTCAAAAGGGTAGATTTTATAAAAATTTCTATGTTATTTTCGACATTTTCCATCCCCCCACACCAGCTACCGCAATTCACTTACAGCGCGGGTCGACATCTAGAACCCCAACGACCGCGCTATAATCGTTGTTATATATATATATATATATATATATATATATATATATATATATATATATATAGTGGTAAATGAAAAAGCCAAAATCATCTTAATAGTATGTTTCGATGCGAGAAAGAACTTCTTCAGATTTAGGAAATATATGTACAATATAAATCTGATATACGTGGGTAAATCAGAAGTTAAAGGTAGTTTCCATACGGCAACCTTTAATTTCACTTGAGAAAGAAAAGGAATGAAAATTTCACTTTTCGACATAGTCCCCCTGAATGGTAATGCATATCTGATATCGTTCAACGAATTTCGATAATAACCTTTTTCTGTTGTTAACAAAATCATGTCAATGCCACTTTTGCTTGTTTGGACACCCAACGTGCACGAACGTTATTGTACGCCAAGTCACCATACCCTATGGATTGTGCAGATCCACAGTTGATTACCACGATTGTCCCCCTCTTGTGTTAACATAATTCCTAGGTCTAGACGCACCCTAATTTCAGCAGGGCAAATCAAGAAAAAATAAGTAATTAGTAAAATTATTAGTAAATCGTAGAGCCTAGGCTATATTTATGAGGTATTATTTTGGTTAGAAAAGCCATGATTACAATTTAACTATAAATATTAATAGAAAAAAAGGAACACGACCCTATAAAAATTTTATTATATCCAAAGATAAGAAAACAAAATAAAAATCAAGCACTTATTACAATTGAGCAAACAGTACAGTTACCATAAAAATTTTATTCATCTTCAAATCCATAAAATTCTTCATCTTTGTCATCAAAACTCTGCTGCTCATTTTCAATACTAAATTTCGTTAAATAATGCGTTATCTAATTTCGGCTGATTATCGCGAATTTTAAACCTACATATGGCATATAAGACGCAGGGGAAATTTAAAAGATATTTTTTAGTAAAAAAAAAAGTGCGCCTTATATGCTGTCAAATACGGTAGCTAATAATTTGTTTATACATGTTATTTTTGACGAAATGTTAATAACATATCGTAAATACTGAAAGCAAATTAAAAATTAATCTACGGTCGCTCATCATTGCTAAGAACCGTTATATTTGCTGTTACGTAACACAGATTATATCAGTAAGAAAAAGAACATTCTAGTAATTGCAGTTAAGAAATATGAGTAAAGGCAATATCGCGATTAAACAGATTAGATTTTAAACATTTTGACTTTTCAGAATATAGATTTTTTTTCTATTTATTCTAGTCAAGTACAATTTTCAGTTTTCAGAACCAACTCTAAACTTGTAAACATAAACTTATAATTGAGTTTTCTTCATGAAAACTATTCCTAGACACTGACATAAACGACACGACTAGCCATATATCGAACGTTGGACTGCATAAACGTACACTTTAACGGTGTTAATTTTAAATATATGCATTAGTTTTGCCATAGTTGGTTCTAACCGTATAAATCAAGTTTAACCGACTTGATTTTAATCTATATAATCAGTTTACACACATAATAGACTCGGTCATTTGAACTTGTTTCCTGTTTAGGATTGGATTTCCGGTTCCTTCTAAAGTCTACTTCAACTCTATACTTCTAACTTCTTCGCCTAAAACTTTGAAATATTATTTACTATTTTTTTTTTTCGTAAATGGGAGTAGATAGTTTTCGCCTATCGCCCGGTTCACACCTCACGCCGTTCTTTTGAACAGGAGTAGAGGTTTATCCCTTTTTCCTGTTTAAGATTGGGTTTCCGATTGGGTTGTCTACTTCTAACGTCTCCACCTAAAATAAAACTCCGCCTATGCTAAATTTCAGCTGCATTCAAATCTCTGAAAAAAAGAAAAAATATTTTTTCTGTACGTACTTCTTTAATTTTTTTTTAACTAATTGTCATTTTTTATCAAAATTTGAGAAAATGTTTTTGAGGCTTATTATTTTCTGTATGTGGTTGTTTATTGGGAGACTCGGTGAAGTAATGGATAACGAGCCGATTTCGAATTCCAGTCGAGTTTACTGAAAACTAAAAATTACGTCAAGTACTATCACGTGTGGAAATAAAATTGCTGCACTCACCCAGAAGGAAAATCCTCGAGAGTGCCGCCATTGAATATTATCCAAATATTAATCTACGCCCAGGCTTTTCCCTATATCACCTTTCTTAACAGAATTACAACTCTACCAAGCAAACGTACACAACTGTATCAAGAAATCAAAAGAAAATGGTTAAAACCGTCAACACAAAAATAAAAACAATATTTCCACACGTGATAGAAATTGATGTAATTATCATTTAACAATATGAATGCAAAAGGGTTTTCTAAATTCTTCTAGTTGTTAAGGACATTTTGTTTTGTTGTTAATAATTACTTTGTTTTAATAAATTCATTTCGTTTTTGCCTTAAAAACGTCCATATTGGACGAAACGAGTCGAAACAGTTTTCCTATTGTTTTTTACCTTTATAAATATTGTCTTTTTCTACAGGTTAACTCTGAGAAATTTTCTATATATATATATATATATATATATATATATATATATATCAAAAGCCGGAAAAGAATTTCTATAAATGAGAAGTGCGATAAAAGAAACTGGTATCATAGAATTTGAGGGTTATATCTAGCAGTTTCAAACACAAAAGAATGGGACCAAGCTACCAAAATGTAGAACTGCACTTAAATTCAAGGAGGTATCAAAGAGGAAAAAATATGTCTATATAATTCCGCCCATGTATATAAAACTATATTTTCATAAGTTTTCGTAGAATTTTTGTGGGTGGAATTTTCGTAGAAACGGACTAAAGTCCTTGTGAAATTGCTATTGTGAAGAAAAACTTAGGAAGTATAGAAAGAATCTATGAGCGGACAGATTTGAATTTGTAAACTGTCTCGAGAAAGAAAGGATTACTTCGAGATGCAACGTCACGTGTTGGTTTTGCTCGCTATTAGTTAGGAATCCGATAAACTGATCCTCTTGGACAAACACGAAACGGATTTCTGTTATTAATCTACTTTAGCTAAAGCAGCTGCATAAAGATGACAAATGCCATTGTCGAAAGGGAATGTGCAGACACAGATACCAAAAATAGACTTGGTTTCAGGGGAAAATCGAATATCATATAAACAGCTGTACGGAGCTAAATAGGTTGTTGAAATAGATAGATAGATAGATAGATAGATAGATAGATAGATAGATAGATAATTTAATATCATAGAGAGAGATAGAATGGTAAAGAACGTAATGATATAGATAGATAGATAGATAGATAGATAGATAGAGAGAGAAAGAGATAAAGAGTTAGAAAGATAAAGAACATAAATAGAGAGAGAGAGAAAGGTAAAGAACATAATGATAGATAGATAGATAGATAGATAGATAGATAGATAGATAGATAGATAGATAATATATCATATAAAGAGAAAATGGTAAAGAACGTAATGATATCGATATATATATATATAGAGAGAGAGAGAGAAAGAGAGAGAGAGAGAAGGACATAATTAAATAGATAGATAGATAGATAGATAGATAGATAGATAGATAGATAGATAATATACAGTGTAACCCGGATATAAGAGAGTTGTCGGGACCGGAGAAGAAGTCTTATATCCGAGTTTCTCTTATATCCAGGTTTAGTCTATTTTATATACATTAACACAGGCTCTAATTTGGGACAAGAGAAAATCTCTCTTATATCCGGGTTTCTCTTATATCCGGGTCTCTTATATCCGGGTTACACTGTAATATCATATAAAGAGAGACTGGTAAAGAACGTAATGATATAGATAGATAGATAGATAGATAGATAGATAGATAGATAGATAATGAACAGATTCGAAATAGATAGATAGATAGATAGATAGATAGATAGATAGATAGATAGATTCAGGTGGTGTGTTACATAATCCCTTGTCAGATTAAGAAACTGATACTACTTTGAAAATTTAGTGAGTCGTCCATTTATTGTGCATGTTGAAAATGATGGAATCACCACACTGCTTTTTTTTCCTTCGTTCGCAAATTAACGTATCAGGAAAATAAAGAAGTAACCGTCTTTAATCATCGAATATTCACATAAGAGAAAATTAATGACATTTCTCTTAAACTCAGAAATTCTATTTATTTATTTATTTTATTTTTTTATTTTTTCCTCGGGAGTATAAGATAGGTTCGCCTATCTTCCGTTTCACTCTCCCCCTAGGTCATTTGAACAGGGGTAGGGATTTATCCAGTGTTTCCTGTTTAGGATTGGGTTTCCGGTTCATTCTAAAGTCTATACTCTAAACTCTATACTTCTAACGTCTCCACCTAAAACTCTGAAATTTTATTTACTATTTATTTACTTTTTTCCTCAACAGGAGTAGAGAGGTTCGCCTATCGCCCAGCTTACACTCCTCTCCTGTTTTTAACAGCAGTTGAGGTTTATTCTGTATTTCCTGTTTTGGATTAGATTTCCTGTTTCTTCTAGAGACATTTCCTTCTCTCAGTATCTGTCTATATTTCTGAGATGAGGTATTATCTACATTATTTACATTATTCGGACTATTGTCCTCATCTTTGTTGCCATATTTATTACAACATTTCAAGGACACATGGCACAGTGGATAAAGGCGTTACTTAGATCCAGCGACAGGACCCAAAAAGTGTGAGTTCAATATCCGGCTAAGGCATTTGAGAACTTTCAGAGGGAAATTAACAGGAGATAACTGATAACTGACATCCATTAAACATGGCACGTGGAACTAGAACAGTCTACCCCAGTGAGCGAAATAAAGGGTTAAGATCGACATTCCAACCACCTGAAGAAGGCTGGATCGTACAACGGCTGAAACGTTGTAATAAATATGGCGAAAAAGATGAGGACATTAGTCCGAATAATGTAAATAATTTCCTTCTCTGTCACTTATGCTGGCCCTTTGCGATTTGGCGGCATTATCGTTTGGGAATTTACTCTTTAAGCTTCTATCTTGAGTGGCTTTAGGGCCTTGTACAGGGTGAAGACCATTGTAAAATCGTTTATGTATAATATTTCAAATACCAAAAGAAACAACATGCAAAATAAAGGAAAAGATAAAATATATAAGCGAGAAAAATAATAATATAGATACAACCTCAAGATCATGACTACATATAAGGCCTACTTCGAAAGGGTGTAATGGTTAACAGGCTTATCTCGATTAATTACGATTGAGTTACGGTGGAGTAATGGATAGCGGCTCGGATTGAGGAATCGGAGAGCCGAGTTCGAATTCCATTCGAATCCATTACATTCACCTACGTGCTAATACCCTTCAGAAAGGTATGAATCCTCTTCTAGATTTTCCCGGAGGAGTAATGGATAGCGGCTCGGATTGAAGAATCGGAGAGCCGAGTTCGAATTCCAGTCGAATCCATTACATTCACTTACATGCTAATACCCTTGGGGAATGTACGAATCCTCTTCTCTCTTCAGCTATGGGTAAATAGCAGGACAGACGTCCTTTGGATGGCAACTGGTCTACCACAGAAAGAAAGGCAACCTACTGCGGGAAAAATCTGTCTCGTCAGTCAGTCGTTCACTTTTGAACCGACTGCTTGGTTTGAACTCTCTTCCTACGGGCGGGAGGAACCCGAAGGAGGCTACGCCGAAGGGTGAAATCTCCTTCGGGGAGGTAAAACCGGCCCTGAACCCGTTCAAACGGGCTACTTTTTGGCCGAGCCTAATGGCTTGGGAATTGCCCACGTTAAAAAGGCCTTGTGCCACATGACACCCTCGTGGGGGGGTGACTGAATATCGTCAGTCATCTATCGAAAGATACATGATCGCCTAAGCGTGTATCACTCATGGCACATAACTGAGTGAGTTCAATCCTCATGAGGTGATTCATGCTTCGCTTAGTAAATTGCAAGGTAACAGCTCTAGAACCCCATAACTCTCGGGTGTGGCACGAGACAGAAAATGTTTTAAATATGGTATTGCTGTATTATGAACTTCTTTAACGTCGCACGGGGAAAGTTCTAATTACATTTGTTATTATACTAAGTTCACTTGACTTTTCTCCTATGTACATAGCTAAGAACATGTATTTGGATTAATAACTTATCAGGCTTCACACGCAAAGTAAGATATATTCACTACTTGAAATCTTTGAAACAAATATTTTAAATGAATATTTCATTCGTAAATTGTCTTGTTATAGCTAAGGAAAGTTTTACAAAAAGATGCCAACTTGTTGAAAGCCAAGTAAAATGCAAATTTCAAACACTTTTCTGAGCTATATAAGAAAATATTCCTAAACATAACTATTTTTGATATGAAAATCAAAAAATCATCGAATAAATGAACAGTAATTATGGACAATTATTAAAATAAACTTTTTTAAAAATCAATATGCAAATTATTTAAACCTAGAAGTAGATAATATTGAGCTTCTATCGCGTAAATTACTATAAAGTGGAGCCGAAGTCATTTAATTTCAATATTCGTGGGAGAGATGAGCTCCAATTTCGAATTTATTCCTATAGATTCCATCATATAGGTTTTACTTAATTAGCTATTATGTTTCTCTAACTTTTCAAATGTTGAATGTATAACTAATTCTAATTTCTATTTTCCCATCTTTACACTATATTAATTTTATCTTCTAAATTGTCCCCTATTCTGTCACCCATGAAGTAAAAATTGTTTGTACAGAAAATAAGGATCTACGTACATCAAATCGTCTTTAAATTAAGTGGCAGCAGAAGAATTATCACTGAACTTTTAAAAGGTAAACTTAAACATTAATTCAATACTTAAATGCAGCGATCAATTTTGAGTTCTTTTGTAGTTTATTGATGGCTATCGCATCTACTCCTCCCTAGCTATTGTGATGATGGCCAAACCAAGAGTCCTCCACAGGAGATAGCTTAAATGCCGCTCAATAGGGCTGTACACCATATCTCTTTTATCAGTTCTTTTGAAAGTATTACTAGATTGGCAATTAGGTCTCATCGTTTTACTATTGAACTTGTTAGATTTAACCGTAAGTCCTATTCTGATAGTTTCTTTTCTCGCACTTCTCGCTTGTGAAACTCTCTTCTGGTTTCTGACTTTCCTGCCACTGACAATCTTCAAAAATTTAAATACGTCAATGGCTAGCTTCTGTTTTCCTGAAACCTGTTCTTTTATTGTCCTTTCTCACTTCTAGCGTTTTGTTCATTCTCTTTTCACTCTCATTAACCCCTTGCACCTTAAAGGAATTACCACCTTGATTAAAAAAGGAATTACCACCTTGATTAAAAAAGGAATTACCACCTTGATTAAAAAAGTGTATATATTCGATACAAGTCTTTCTGTTCTAAAATGAACAGTTGCCCACGAACAGAGTTCATAAGGTTTTAAGAACAGCCTATATAGTTAAAAATATCATTTAATGTATTTGCGAGTAGTGTATCAGCGCTGAATGCGGAATAGGAGAGCCGAGTTCAAATTCCGGGCTAGTCTGTTGCTTTCACTTTTGCCCTTAGGAAATGAACAATTTCCTTTCTTCTCTTCCCGGGTTGAATAAAAGTGTAGTCTGCATTCTCTAGCCTTGGGTGAATGAACAACAGCCTGAAGACGGATGGCCCCCTCCCAGCTCTCCCGACATATATATACACATACTGTTACTATGGAGGCAGTAAATTAGGTATACCTAAGTACCTAATGGGTTACTGGAGTCGAATGAGAATCATTTAGTGTATGTGATACTCCAAACATTTAATGATAAATAAACAGGGTAATTAATGAAATAAAAATAAGATGCGTTATTTCACAGCATATAAGATGCAGCTGACATTTAAAATTAAAGTGTAAGATCAACATTTAACTATAATTTTATTATTCTAACCTTTTTTTATTCAATAATTATAACGTAAAATATTTTATGGACGAGGATGTATTTTCAAATTTGTTGGAAAAGCGTTTCGAGACATAACACTATTTTGTTTCGTTTACTACTCTCTCTCTCTCTCTCTCTCTCTCTCTCTCTCTCTCTCTCTCCCTCCTCCTCCCCTCCTCCCTCCTCTCTCTCTCACTCCCTCCCTCGCTCTCTTACTCTTTCTCTCACTCCCTCTCTGTATCCTTCACTCTCTCTCACACTCCCTCTCTCTCACTCCCTCTCTCTCCGTCTCTATCTCACTCTCACTCTCTCGCCTCCTCTCACTCTCAATCTCTCTCACTCCCTCTCTCTCCCTCACTCTCTCTCACACTCACTCTCTCTCACTCTCTCACTCCCTCTCTCACACTCCCTCTCTCACACTCCCTCTCTCTCCTTCTATCTCTGTCTCTCCCACTCCCTCTCTCACTCTCCCTCTCTGTCCTTCTCTCACTCTCTCTCACTCACTCCCTCTCTCTCCCTCACTCTCTCTCACTCTCTCACTATCTCTCTCACTCCCTCTCTCACACTCCCTCTCTCTCTTCTCTCTCTGTCTCTCTCTGTCTCTCTCACTCCCTCTCTTACATTTCCTCTCCCTCTTCCTCTGTCTCTCTCACTCCATCTCTCTCTCTCCCTCTCTCTCTCGCTTTATTGGTTCAGAATAGTTTGTTCGATTATTGATTTTCCAAATATTTTTAAAGACAACAACAATAATAATAATAATAATAATAATAATAATAATAAAATCTTCCCGCGTATTTTGATGATAATTTTATACTTTTATTCTTTTCTTATTTAAATCAATATTTAAATTTCTATTATTATCATTTAAAATATATATAATAAGACATTTGGTACATGTGATGAGGAACTGTTTACTTCGACGTCGGGTGTAAAACATATATATTTTAAAAAAATATATATGGAAAAGGGGTAAACATGCCATGTGCTACCTATTCAGGTGGGGTGCTGTGAATTCTTTGGACGTTCAATGGTTTGCTTCCTTGTGAAGGTCGACATCACTTGTCGGTGCATGAAGAATATTTCACATCGTCTTCAGGCCACAGCTCAGCAGGCTTCGAGTTGGAATTGGTCAAGATCCAAAATAAAAAGAGTTAATTAAAACCATGCCCGCGACACAAGGCTACTTTCGACGTGAAACACATCGGTTTACCTTCCATTCTATGTCATTGATAAGTGGTGTGTTTTGTTTAACGATCAAAAGCAAACGTTTTTAGGACGACATTGAAAATCTGACTTACAGTTGTAGATAAATCGCAGAGACTGACACGTTTGAACAAAAAAAAAACAATAACATGTCCGATGGCAAAAGCTGTTGGCGAACTCCAGATGTGACAGTACCGTCTTAGCCACCTAAAATGTGCTAACCTCTCTTGGTTGGCGTCTGACGAGGACAGGGTATTGCGTATGCTTTCATACGTTGGATGTAGAAAAATGTTTATGTCTGTTTTTATATACTTCGGGTAGATGGAACTCGTTAGCGCGGAAGAATAGTCAAAGAGAAGGAAAACTTTGATTTTGAACAGCTTTGTGGCTATCATAAGACAGGCGTCGGGAATAAGCCATGAGGACAAATCTGGAGCTGGACTTTATAAGTCCGTTCGTTGCTATGTTTAACTTCGTTCTGGAAACAATTCAGACGACGGTGCCAAGCTGTATTGGCCACTGCCTTTCCCTTGGACAACATCGATGGCGTGTTGAGGAGCGAAGTACTATATGGACAACCACCGATCTCTCATCAAACCATTCCCAGGCATGCACCCTGGAGAGGACACATCCTCACATGTATTCGTTACAATCGAAACTCTCACTCCTGTGAAGGCCTGTACAACCATAATAGATACTGCACAACCATCAGCGACTGAGGCACAATATCTTGGACGCAGAGCCAATGTTTCTCAAGACCGAAGGATGCCACAGAGAGAGACAGACAGACAGACAGACAGACAGACAGACAGACAGACAGAGACAAAGTGAATGTCAGGCGAAGTTTCGATCTTTGGATTTAGGAAGTTTATTTTCCCAACATATTGTATGTTAAATTTGAGGTGAGTCTTTTATAGAAGTGCGTCTTAGACGCCACAGTATAAGCTATATATGAATCCGTTAAGAAAAATGCCGAATAAAAAATAGTTAGAAATAATAATGACTTCTTCTTATCAAGTGGCTAAACTACATCCATCAAGTGTTGCATACAGAGCCTGGCCTTGAATCTTAAGGCTTGAAGGTCGTTTAATGTACATAAATCTTCAAGATTGGAACAAACTAAAAGATGTTCCATAATTTGTGATTGCCCTCATTGGCAACTAGGAACAGCATCGGTGTCAAATGCCTATTTCTGAAGGTTGGCTCTACACCGACAAATATCTGTTCAGAGGTGATTCAGACAGGACTGAAAAGACCTGGGATCACTACAGGGGAGGGGGATTCTGTAAGCCTGAGAGAGAGCCTGTGTTCCCCGTATATAAAGTGACTGCACCACAGGGACAGATGCTGACTAGAAACTCTGTTGTTCAGGGGTTGGACTGAATGTAAAAATCAGTTTCTTGACTTAAACCCCTTTGTCGTTTCAGGGCCGTGAAATGGATGACAAGGATGAGTTTTCTTGCTTCAACTGCTCAAGTAGGGAGTGGATTGTCCTTCTGGTGTAACGGGCGTGGGGGGGGGACAATACAACCAAGCTGGTGGGCTTGATACACCCTGTGATTGATCTACAAGAGGCGTGTTCGATTTTATTTGTATGTCATCATCTAATAAAATATAATGATCCATGACACTAAGTCAATAAATGAAAACCTCAATTTAAGGAATCCCTTAATTAAAACATTAAATGATATATCTATGAGGACCTGGCATTTCAGTTTACACATCCACCAGATATTGGTGACGATTATCTTTTCATTTTTAATTTGTTAGGCCAAATGTTTGAGATACTGATTATTTTTATATAAAGGTAAATTCCTGTGAAGTTTTGGAAAAATGCATATGACACTCTGCTTCTCTTGATATTGACTTGAAGACTTTACATACACACACACACACACACACATATACACACATATATATATGCGCGCGCGCGCGTGTGTGTGTGTGTATGTGTAAGTATATAGAAAAAAACCATTAGGTTAATAATCTAAAGTTCTTTAGTATTTTTGTTTTTTTGTTTTTAAAAAACAGTGTTCGATACAATAATAGAGCCTATATTATAATTATTTTTTTAAAATATGATTCCATCGCTACATAAGAGTTCTCACGTTTCAAAAACAGAAACTAAAAACTTCAATTTCATTCATAAAAATTAAATTAAAGCAGCTAGTTCTGTTTCATCCTCAAACGAATATTGGCTTGGGAGTGATACAGAACTAGCTGCTTTAATCTAATTTCTATAAATGAAATTGAAGTTTTTAGCTTCTATTTTTGAAACATGTGAACTCTTATGTAGCGATGGAATCATATTTTTTTTAAAAAAAATATAATATATATATGTGTGTGTGTGTGTGTGAGAGAGAGAGAGAGATAGAGAGAGAGAGAGAGCGTGTGTGTGTGTGTGTGATAATCCGTTGGTATATAATCCAAGTGAATCCTAATAATATAAAATATTAAAACTGATCCACAAAGAGAGCTCAATGTATTTTTTATAACAGAGCATATATAAATAAATAAATTACATAGAGAGAAATTCTAAATTACTCCATTTGAATAGCTATTTCAACCTACAAGAACTTACTTGCAGGAATTGTCAACACCGTGGTGGGGAGAAATAAAATAAAACAGTAGGTTTAAAATTTAAACAATAAAGCAATAGGTCAAGGTTATTTTAAGTGTCGTCTGATTCCAGACATTTCCCCTCTTCCACTATGAACTTGGGTTTAAACTATGTCTAGACGATCTGCTGCATCTTCTAGAGTGTTCTTCTTTCTCTTTTCCTTTTTTCTTTTCTTTTTTCATCTTTCTTCTTTCTTTAAATGTTTAAGCTACTATTTTATTATATTTCTGATATATATATATATATATATATATATTAAAGACATTTTTTATGTTTAACGTTGTTATTTATAGATACAAGTATTTAAGCAAATGCTCTGTTTATGATAAACATATTAAATAACATTTACCGGCCTGAATATAAATAAAATTTTCATAAAATATTCGTTCTTAAATAAAATTTTTTGGAACCTGCATCTTTAATATATGACGTCATTTGTTTACATTCGATACGCCAGAGTCATGAATGTACGAGATTCATGGAAGATTGAAGTTTATAAGCAGTAAAATTCGATCTTGCCTACCGAAAATGTTCTTTTGTGGCGTATCAGAGGTAAGGCGTCGTCAGCGTAAAATGACGGTTCCGTATAGGAAGGTTCGAATCCTGTCAAAGAACGAATATTTTCTATGAAAATCATATATTCAGGCCGGTAAATGTTATTTAATACTGTTTATCATAAACAGAGCATT